GTTATTTCCAAGACCCCAGTTTTGATTCTCCTCAGCGACTCTGTTTCCCACCTCAAGACCTCACTCATCGGCAACTCGGTCACGATTCCCATCTCCAAGGGGAAATTTGTGCTCGGCACCTGGCAAGGTATCTATCTGGCGGAATTCAGGCATAGCGGAGCGGGATGGGGCGGTAGAGGATCAGGAAGAAAGGTTGTTGCGACCATCCTGTAAGTATAGCAAGAGTGCACGGGATCGAGCTGATCAGACTAGCCCATGAGCTGGAAATATATGCCTTTGAAAGTAACTATGCAGAAAATTGAACAGCGTGCCACCCTCTGCTATCCCAATCTGTCTTGGTATCCGCAGCACCGCCATCTATCGACTGTTGCTCCGCTGCCCACTTGTCCACCGACGTCTTGACTCTATGCCGCATCCCCGCTCCCAGAACATCGACAATCGCCAGACTGGCATTGAGCCCATACACCATCGTGGCAGCATAGAAAAAATTGGCGTTGCCTGTACCGGTGAGCAGCCATAGCGAATGGAGCAGGGGCAGTAGAATGGCCGTGTAGAGGTGGACAGTGAGGGTGAAGAGTGGGTGTCGCAAGTCTGCAACCGTTTGTGAACCCCGCCCTGATCAGGCTGATGAGATGACATACTCGAAACAATGTCGGGGAAACACCCCAGAAGGCCGGCCCAGAGTGCCATGTCGCCCAAAGACGGGTAGCTCTTCCATGTGCTGATGATGCCGACCAAGAGCAATAGTGCAAACAGGGGATCGTCAGACAATCTCAAGCAAATGGGTGCCACATAGATGACTGTATGCAGCTGTGTGGTGTCAGCACGGCTCAACGAGCGTTACGACTTGCCTGGAAAACGCCAAGGAAAAAAGTACGAAAGTGGTCAAACATCTCTGTAAAGAAATACCACCACATCCCAACGTTTGGAGTAAGATCAGCAACAGAGACTCTGCTGCAAGTGAGTATGAGGAAAAGAGGGCGACGCTTACTTACACGAGTCCTAGGGTATGCGGAACCCAGCTCCATCCGACCATGGAATGACCGAGAATGGACACAGCGGACGCGCTGGTGGCCACCGTTGCTACAGATTGGATTGCCAGTCGCGTACCAGAGACTGTGTTGTGTTTCCAGAGAAGCATGATGATGGGCGGGAATAGCAGCACCGGGTAGACGCAGGCTGCTGATGCAATGGTAAGGAGGAACAATGCCACGGAAATGTTGCCTGATTCGAGCATCAGAGCTGTTGCGACTATACTTTGACATACTGTGTCACGCCTGGGGAGTGCTCTTGACGTGCTGAAGAGAGTTTTGTAGTAAGGGGCAAAAACCTTTTCGTTATTGTCGCATATGAAGAAGAAGAAAACTATGAAAAAGACTCTGATACGTGTAACAACGGAGAGCACGGTCCACAAACACACAACTAATCTATTGGATGAACTAATTACACAGATGACTCCTTTAACCATGACAAATCTACCCTCCTCCCTCATCGCCGACGAGCCCGCCGTTGAGGAGGGGTCACCGCGGAAGCAATGCGGTCGAATCCCGGCTTGGATGGGTGCTCGGAATGAAGTCCCAAGAAATGGTATGCCAAGGCCCTGGGGGAACAGGGAGAGGCTGGAGGAGGCCTTGGTATGTATGGCGAGGGGCTTTGACGTGTTGACAGGCATCGCAAGAGCGGACATATGCATCCGCCATGATGTTCATACCGGGCCAGAAGAAGTTGCGGGCCAGGCGATTGCGGAGTTTGCTTTGGCCTACGTGACCCGCCAGAGGAACGTCGTGAGCTTGTTGTAAGAGCATCACCCGAATATCGTCCACATCCGGGACGTAAAGACGTGATTCATGGAGGACAAGCCCATCGGAGGAAAGGGAGAAGGACCGGAGTTGACGCGATAGTCGGGCGGAACGAGGGAGAGAAGGGGTGCGAAGGGCAGTGACGATGGGGAGAATAAAAGGGTCGTGGTCTAATGCGAATTTGATCCGGGCTAACAGAGTACGGTCAATGGGTGCGGCGTCTTCTGCGGTGAGGGCAGAAAGACTTAGCTCTGAGTCCAACAACACCGCCGAGGCCGAGAGGGGTGCAGCCCATGGCCCCGGTAGCGCCTCCGCGGTGATAGGCCGGAGGACCGACACACGCTCCGTGCCCCCTGTTGCATCCACAGCATAATCTGCCCTCCGTGATAGGGTGTCGCACGGCCCATTGAGGCGGCCAGGCCGGTAGCGAATGTGATATTTGTGGTGATTGATCAGGTGGGACCATCGAGCGATGCGGCGGTTACGGATAGTCTGGGTCTGGAAATGTTGAAGAGTCTGATGATCGGTCAGGATGGTGAAGGGATTAGGAAGGCCCTCGAGATAGTGGCCCCAGGTCTCCACGGCCTCCACTAACGCCAGCAGTTCCCAGTCGTAAGGCCCCCAACGTGTCTCTTTGTGCTTCAACTTCCGTGACCAATAAGCAATGGGATGAGGGAACCCATCGGCCTGTACCTGAGAGAGAATTGCAGCGACGGCATAGGAGGAGGCGTCGGTCTCGATGATGGTGGGGAGCGCGGGGTCAAAATGCTGCAGCACAGGCGCAGTGGTGAAAGCTTCCTTCAGTGTGGCGAAAGCCCGCTCACATTCAGCGGACCATGCGAAGGTGGTGGATTTGTGGGTGAGAGCTTGAATGGGCGCAATGAGGGCAGCGAAGGAGGGAATGAAGCGTCGATAAGCATTGGCAAACCCCACGAAGCGCTCCACGTCCTTGGCACAAGTGGGCGTAGGCCATTCCTGTACGCTTGTCACCTTGGAGCTGGCCATTCCAACACCTTTGTCAGAGATGTGATAACCCAAGAACTCACACTGATCCACCGAAAACGCACACTTCTCAGCCTTGACAAACAGCTTGTTGTCCAAAAGGCGCTGAAGTACCACCCGCACATCACTCTCGTGAGTGGCAGGGTCGACGGAATAGATAATGATGTCGTCCAGGTAGCAAGTGACCGTAACATCCAGGATACCCCGAAGGACGTGGTTCATGAGGCGCTGAAAGGCTGATGGGGCATTAGTCAGACCAAAGGGAACCACCAAACACTCGAAAAGACCATAACGGGTGCGGAACGCCGTCTTCCATTCATCTCCTTCCTTGACCCGCAAAAGGTTGTACGCTCCCCGCAGGTCGAGAGTGGTGAAGCGCTTAGCGGAAGCGAGTCGGTCAAGGGTTTCGCTGATGAGTGGCAGCGGGTAGCGGTCTTTGATGGTGATGGCATTGAGGCCCCGATAGTCATGGCACATGCGTAGTGTACCGTCCTTTTTAGGAACAAAGAGAATGGGCGCGCCAGCAGAGGAGGACGACGGTCGGATGTGGCCTTTGTCTAACACCTCGCGGAGACCCTCTCGGAGAACCTTCAACTGGACGGCGGAGAGATTGTACAGCGGCAGAGACGGAGGCGTGGTGCCTTCCTTAAGGTCGATATTGACGTCTAATGCCGGACGATGGGGCGGAAGATCGTTTGTGGCCTCCTTGGAAAATACCTGCGCCAAATTGTGGTAAGCCGCGGGGATAGACGGAAGGATCGACTGGAGGTAAGGTTCGTG